ATGAATGCATGATATTCGCAATAATACTGAGACGCACTTTTTTCTCTTCGTTATTAATAGATCCTAAGTAATAGAAACTACCTCTCTCACAACAATAGAAGGCAGCTGTATAGCGGCACAACTCAAATACGCAGTTTGTCATGAATGCATGATATTCGTAATAATACTGAAACGCACTTTTTATATACTGTATTACTAAAGTTGAAGCAAATACGCATATTTGTACTGTATAGAAGGAAAGAGAAAGGCATAAAAATAAAGTGGTCATTGGTTTTTATAAGTTAAAGATCAGTAGGAAGTTTCTGTATTTTTATGAATGAAGTTTGAATAAAGAATGGAAAAGGTTTTTTTCTCTAGATTGGAAAGTTTTACTTTTTTTTCGGTTGGCTCACTGTTACAGAACGAAAGAGACTGCAGAAGATTCTGGAGAGAAGTTTTTTCCATAAATTTTCTGTGCCTCACACTGATTAGCTAGCATTAGTGCAGATTAGAATGTGGCGGGGGTTACGAAAAAATTATGATGATTATTACCTGTGTTTGTATAAATTATTATTTATTTGGGGATGTCTTCGTAACATTTTGTTGATTGTTTATTTCATAAAAATAAAGACTATTTTCATTTTTTATAAGATAAAGAGAAATGTTTTCGTTACTCTGTTATGTATTGTATGGAATAATAAAAATAAAGTAAGACTCCTAAACTGAAACTAGTGACTTGGTTATGAATGCATGATTCTCTTGATAGTACTGACGAACAATTTTCTTTTTTAAATACTAAGAGTTTCTAGATTTTCGAAATCTTGAATGTTTTCTTAAAAGTCATTTGAGAATTTCTATCAATTAAATTGGTAACTTAGTTTGTTTGTCATACTGTGGAACGCTTATGTTCATAGATATTGAAGAGAACCGTTTTGGTTTTCCACTGCTCTACGAATCGGTTATTTACAAACAAATTTTTGTTTCTAACAAAGTGCTCTTCGTGTTGCCGCATCGGATTTTTAGATAGATTTTCGCAGCGTCATTGATACATATTTTTAAGTTTCTATGTTACGTGTTTTTCAACAGATCCTTACCTCCAGTATATATTTTTATGATTAATATGATTTGTGCATGATATTGTAGAGTCAGAAGAAAGTGTTCTCTTCTTCTTCTTATACTCATTTGTATTTTATTCATGTTGAAAAGGTAGAGAATGATAGAGCGAGAAAGGAGAGAAAGTGTAATACTATCTACCATATGGTTCGATTTTAAAGTGAAAAGTCCTGCATCTTCGCCCTCGTATACTTTCATCACGAAGAAAGAAAGAAAAAAAGGAGGTAGATGGAAAACTATTGTCATTTGTTTAAAACAATTAGTTAACGTAAGTACCTTTTCTTATATGTTGTTTGAGTATTGGGAGTAATATAGAGTCGAATTTTTTTATCACTGTCGAATTTTTTACTCTAATATGAAAGAAAAGTTTTCATAATTCAAAGGAAACAGGTTCTTAAAATCGATTTCTGGTTTTATTCCTATGCGCAACACGTTAAGGACTTGTGATTTTCTAGAAAATGTTTTTGCTGTAAGAAATTGTTGGAAGATCTTCACTGTACAAAACAGAAGTTTATCTTGATTTTCGCATGATTAGACACTTA